CGGGCAGGGACCCCTTAATTAATGAGTATGGTCCACGGTGGACCGTGGACCCTTGTCTATATTAAAACCTTAAGCCGGTTAGGAATAAAGAATGAGGGTCCATTACGAATCAAATTCTAATTGGGAATCCTAAACCTATATAAAGAAAATTAGAGAGTCTTTAGAACCCTTTCTCTCTCATCTCTCTCTACCACTCGAAAATTCCCTCCCAGAATCCAGACAAAGAATTCCCCGTCACCAAGATTAGGAAACATCGATAGGAAGAGGCCCTTGAGGAAAGATCCTAGAAGTCGTGAGAGGTTTAATTAGGCAAAAAGGTAATTCATGTCTTACAAAACCTATTTTCCTTGCTATCTTTTATTTATTGGCTCATTTGAATTATTGTATGTGTGATCGTGTAATTATACCTTGATAGAGCTCGTCTAAGGGTTTATATTGTGGTTTCTTGATAATCTTGATGTTCTTGATATTCGTAAGTGTTTATATACATGTTCTTGTGTTTAAACATGTTTAGAGCTTGTCTTTAGGGTTTTATAGTGTGACACCCCGAAAATCTATCTTTTAAACGGAATTAATTATTTAATTAATTCTAAACTTGCATTGCAAAGTCCCATCCTAATTTCTTAGTTAAATATTCGGAGGACTTAAATTGACCAAATTCCTTGGTCAATTAAATTAGTCAAAGAGAAAGACATTGAGCTTTATGCCTTGTACCTGACCTTTTGATGTCTTCCTAACCTTTTAATTTTGAGAATAAGGGAGGTCATTCTAGTCTTTTCAACCTTACTTGGTATCCAAGCCTTACCCTAATAACACTACATTGCATTTTCCACATTTGGCAAGAAACACATAACTCTCTACCTTCTCTCTAGAGGCTTAGCTTCTTCTCCAAGCTAAACCAAAATCTCCCATCAACCTTGCAAGAAATCCTCCAAGATTCCAACTTTCATCCACCAAGACTCTAGGAGGGGTAAGACTTGAGCTTAGATAGTGTTTTTAGTTAGTTTCTCCTTATCTTTGTTTAAGTTTTGGTTGTTTTTGTGGACTTTGGTGTGTGTTGAGAAGACTTTGTAAAGGAAGAGTTTCAAGAGGAGGTCTAGGGGTTGAAGAAGGTGTACTTAGGCTACAAGAGGTAACCCATGCTCTACAAAACCTATTTTATACTTGCTATGGTGATTCTTGATGTTCTTGATGTTCATGAATGAAATGATGCATATTCTTGTGTTTATGCATGTTTAGAGCTTGTATCTAGGGTTTATAAATGCTATTCTTTGAGATATTCTTGTGGTTCAAGTTCCTTTGATGATTGATGTGAAGATTTTGGGTGTTTTGGACTTGAACTTTGCAATGTTGATGTTTTTTCCCGAAGGGAATTGTTGGCTCTCGAGTATGTAGCCGCGGGAGGAACAACGGGGGGTTGCCCACCCGCCGTTCCACCCACGGAGAACGTGTGTGAAGGGGTGACGGGGGGGGGGGGGGGGACCGTGGGTGGTTGTCCACCCGTGGTTCCACCCGCTGCTACAGCGGGTAGGGGTGGCGGGAGGTTGTTCACCCACTGGTACGTTGTGCTTTGGCCTCTGTTTTGTTGAACCGTTGTGCAATTGTGCGTCTCATTTGATGTTTCGTACGTCTAGAACGATGTCCTAAGTATCCATGATAGGATTATGAGTCTTGAATCATGATTAAAGGTCCAACTTTGTGATTCGTTGGATTAATGTGAAGTCTTGATGTTCGTTTGAACCGTTATGGTTATCCTATTAATTTGCATGCTAGTTACGATGTTGTTGGTACTAGTATGTGCTTGTTCATTCGTTCTCAATGAAGATTGGTAGCTTGTATTCACCAATCAATGTAATCTTTGTATTGAAGCCTATTGTTATCGTGCTATGGTCTTGATTGTTCGTTTCATGTCTTTCATTGAAGTCTTACGATTGAATTCCTCGTTGTTATCTAGTACATATGTTGTACTCTATTGATTGATCTTGATTGGGCTATTGATGAGCCTCAATCCTCTATGTCAATGACTATGTGATTGTTATGAGATTGGTGGTAATGCTATGCGGTGCAAATGATTGGCGGTATACTATCACGTGATTAGTACTATTTTATTAATGACATTGCGATGTCTATGAGATCAACGACAAGCTGGTGGAAGCAGGCGGGAGCAATGACTCCAGGAGGGATAAGGTTGGATTTGGTGTACAGGGTGGCACTAAGAGGTACATGTTGGAACTGAAATAAGGTTGGAACGGTGATATAAGGTTGGAACCGGGCATAAGGTTGGAAGATGTCATTGGTTGCGATCTTTGACTTTCAATTGCTATGAGCATGTATTGATGTTATTCTTCATGTTATGATGTTACCTTGATTGTTATTGATTATCATATGTTGTTGATGATCTCATTGTTCTTATCGTTGTATTGATCTCTTGATTTATCGTATGATGGTCGGTTGATTGAGAGTGTTCCATGATGTGTCTATTCCTCATTTTAAAAGATTATATACTATGTATTCCATGTCTCAAAAGTGATTTTCCTATATCTATATTATAAGTACTCAATGAGTAGTGGTGGGTTACTTAGCATTATTCGCTAACGTACGGGTGCTACCCCCTTATGTTTTACAGGTTCAGAGTAGATCGTTGTGAGCGCGCTAGAAGATGAATTAGTTTAGCGTAGCTCCCTTTTGCCCTTAGCTAGTTATGGAGGCCTGTGTGCCTATAGACTTGAACTTGTGAATTTAATATTGTGTTTTGGATGGTTAAATACTTGTTTCCTAGCCTGTGCATCTAGCTCTTAGTTAGATGTGGCGTGACATTCCCGATTTGAATGTTAGCTTCCGAGACTTCTTATGATAATGATTAGATTTATCTTTATTCCTAAGCTTTAATTGTTTTAGAATATTGCTTAAAATCGGGGGTGTTATATATATGATGGTTTCTTGATGTTCTTGATGCTCTTGAACAATTATGTGTTTATCCTTGAGTCTTGGCATGTTTAGAGCTTGCGTTTAGGGTTCAATAGTGTTAGTCCTTGGTTTATTCTATGTGTTCAAATCCCTATTGTTGTTGATGTGTGTTTGGACTTGATTTTGGGTAAAATTGATGAATTCCCGAAGGGGGAACTATGCCAAGGGCTAACGTTACGAACCCCCACTCGACCACCCGTCGGAAAAGGCCGCCATTCCAGCGGGTGGCCGGCAGGTGGACGACCACCCGCCGGAGTACCCGCTGGAACAGTGGCAGCCCACCGGCGGGAGGTTGTCCTCCCGTCGTACCGCCCGCTGGTATAGGCGGTGCGGTGCTCCGTTTTGCCCTGTTGGTTGTTTCCCCGTGCCCCGTTGTGTCTCGTTTGATGTTGTGAGTCTAAAATGATGTCCTGAGCACTGTATTAGGGATCATTTCATTAATTAACTTTCGGAAAAAATAGTGCATGTGATGACCGAAACGGTCCATTGACTATAACAAAATTACCAATTTGGTTCCAAGTTAACGAATGTCTAACGACAAAATAAACGGAGGACCAAAATAATAATAATATTATTATTATTTTCACTTTTATATTTTGTAAGTTTATTACCAATATATAATAGGACATGAAAAGTCATATAAGGACATAAATCAAGTAAAACAAAAAATACATATTAATTCTCATATAATTAAGGAAATGATGAAAAATAATTGATTCAAATAAGGGAATACACATACATTAGTGTAAGGGACACCATTACAATAATATATATTTAACCATGCATAACAGTATCTATAAGTAATTAAATAAAAAATAGGATAGAAAGATATTTAATTTGAATATGCATACATAAATTCATCAATACACATAACGAAATAAACCAAATTAAAAATGGTGGTGGAGGGGACATATCTAATTTTTTTACAATTCACTACAATTTATGTAAATTAAATCAACAAAAAAGGGAAGCACAAATCTTTGAATTATATTAAAATTAAAGTAAATTAATATACATGCTTATAATTATCATATATTACAAATCATTAAAGGATATAAATTTTTTACCCACATCTACCACCCAGGACCAATTGAGTTGCCCATGCAAGCTAAATGGTAGTAAATTGATAAGGATTAATATTTGATGCACCGCCGATGTATAGATTCTATACACCAGCGATGAAGGAGAAGATATCACATCATTAAAAAACAAAGTCAATATTGACCGGGTCCTTTTTTACAAAATATCTAAGACTTATATTTTATTATGAAACTCTTTTATTTCTAATTAACAAAATGTATCTACTTTTCTAAACATATTTATTACTTAATTATTTGAAAATTCCACCAAAGACAAATGATCTCCACTAGAATTAACTCATTGGAAAAATAATTTTAAAAAAAATTGAAGACATGAAAATACCATTGCCTAAAAGAGTGTTTCACTTGAAAAGTCATTGGAAGGAACAACAGTGTCCAAAATATGATAGCCTGGGTATTAAATGACAAAAATGACATTTTAAGACTATATTTAAAATTCTACCAAAGATAAAGGACCTCCGCTAGAATTAACTCTTATTTTTTATTATTATTTTTTACTGCTGCAACAAACCCTAGTATACAATAAAATTTAAAATTAATTTTCACTTATAAACAAACCCAACTCGTATTCAAAAAAAAAAAAAAAAAAAAAAAAAAAACCCCAACTCTAAAAGAAAATTAAAACTTAATTTTCACTTTCTATATTTTCTCTAAAGAAAATTATGGAATTTTGTTTTATTTTAAAGAGATCAATCAAAGACTGTTATCATTCCATAATCTTGATTAATATCTAATTTTATTTTTAGACCATATTCATGGAGATTTTAAACAAATTAATTGATACAAATCATATTATGATACTCAACTTTCCAAAAAAAAAAAAAAAAAGTCAGCTATAAAACCTCATAGTTTGCATATCATCATCTACACAACCATCACTCCTAAAGTCCTATATTAACAAGAAGATTTTTTTATTTTTTTTTTCTCAAAATCATGGCGTATCATTTCTCACCATTGTCATTATCAGTTCCGATTATGCTTCTAGTTGTTATGTTCACTTCCATTCCACTCTCACATTCTATACCGTTCGTCATCCTCCACGGTAATGCAAATCTTTTATTTTATTGTTAAAAAAATTTGTTCATTTATATTTTAGAAAATTTGCGAATATTTATATATAATGGCTTTCCATATTCCATTATGGCGGATATAATAGGCCTTGGAATGCAATGCAATGATCAAGGAAGCATATTTTATCAGTCTTCGCTTAGCATGTTGACTGGGATTAAAGGAACATGCGTGTAAGTAACCACTTTTCTTGATAATGCAAACATCTAAATCTAAAATCTAATAAAAGTGAATGAAGTTTATAGCTTCAATTGTGTCTCCTTTTTTTCATTAATTATATATATATATATATATATATATATATATATATATATATATATATATTATTTTTGACGAAAATAACTTTACCATAATATTTTTGTTATCTTTTCCTGCTATTATAACCATGCAAATGCATTCAACCAAATATTTTCTTTAACTTTTTTAATGGTAATAATATATAGACATTATTATAATAGAGTTAATAGTATTCAAAAAATATATAGACATTATATATTGAAGTATTATATAAGTTATTTCCTAAAATATAAATATAAAATGTATGAAAATGGTTAACATTATTATTATTATTATTATCATTATTATTGTTATTATTATCTAAAATCTAAATAAATCTAAAATTTTATTATAGAGTATCAATATTGAGCATCTATTTTTGCGAATAGCGCATAGAAAATACTAGTAAAATTAATAAGGTTTGTTCATCTAAATATTGTGTTGTGGGCTTAATGATATTTGAAGGGAAATTGGAAATGGAGCATATGATTCCTGGACCATGCCATTGGAACAGCAAGTAAGAGCAAAACATCAGTATTCTTATTGTTTTTATCCCAGGATTCTTAAGTTTTAATTTTTTTTCTGCTTATTATGATGTTTTTTCATTTGCTATCCTGTAGGTTCATATTGCTTGTGAGAAGGTGATGCTTGGCCTTTCTTTCTTTCCATCATCTTTTTGGTTTATCTGATTCTCTGTAAGCTTAATTGATCTGTTTAAATTCACAGCTTAGAATGATGCCAGAACTTCAACAAGGTTACAACCTTGTTGGACTCTCCCAGGTAAAATCACAAAGGATTTTTATTGTTTATCTGGTTTATTATTATATATGGCTTTGATGATTTTTATGTCTCCCAATTTTATTTTTTTTACAGGGAAATGTTGTAGCCCGAGGAGTGATTGAGTTATGTGACGATGTGCCACCTGTAAGAATTTCACTGAAATTATATATTCCTACTAGTTGCAGATCAAAATATGTTATGAGAAATTTAATGTTATTTCATATGACTATATATAGATATGTTATTCATTAAGGTTTTATACCATAGTTAAAACATATTTCATGTATGCAATTCCAACATTATTGAGTATTTTGTGGGATATATAACAAAACAGGTTAAGAATTTCATCTCAATAGGAGGCCCTAATGCCGGCGTCTCTGCAGTACCTGCTTGCATTGTAAGGATTTTGGTTGAGACAGAACACATTTTTTAATTTATTAGCGGGGCGTGAAAGAGAATAGAATTACATTATATTCTTCAATTACTCTGCAGACTGGTCCCTGGTGTGCTGCTATTGGTTTCTATAATGGAATGGGAGTCTACAATGACTATGTTCAAGTAAATTCTTTCCTATCATTTATTGTGTTCTTTGCTAGAATTGGGTTCATTTTTGTTGTTTATATCTTCATTTTCTTGAATTGCAGGCTCGCTTGGCTCCCAGTGGTTATACCAGGATTCCAAATGTAAGCCAAAAAATACACAAAAATCTTATGCTTTTTTTTTTTTTTTGGGCTGACGAGGGAAACTGTAGCCACTACCTGAGGGTGTGCACTTACTGAGTAAATTCCGTCTTGTGCCCTTAGTTGGTAAACTAGCCAAAGTTGCTCATATTGACCTGTTCAAACCAAGGGGGTTGGGATTCGAACTCGTGACCTTCTAATTACAAGTTTGTATCTATAGTCATCTTGCTGGGATTACACCAACCTTGAATTGCAGGAATTCTTGCTCACAGTGTTTTATGGTTTTACCTTCTCCCAGGATATCCCTGGATACTTGAGAGGCTGCAGATTTCTGCCAAAGATAAACAACGAAATCCCCAGCGCGAACAACGCCATCCAAAAGCAGAGATTCACCAGCCTGCAAAATCTTGTTCTCATCATGGTTTGCCAAGAAACTAGCTTAGCCTTGATTTCTGCCACTTTTAGATGACTTAATTATGTTGATATACTAATTCTGCCATGAAAACATGCAGTTTGAAAGCGATGGCGTTGTCAACCCGCCTTTAAGCTCCTGGTTCGGCTTCTATCAAGACGGGGATTCCTCAACAATCCTGCCTCCACAGCAGGTAAAGTAGCAAGCACTTCTTTAATTTCCAGTTTCCAAAATTACAGACTAATCTGAATATATTATGTATTCTTAGCTTGACACAATTTCGGATTGGCATTTTCGTTTTGCAGACTAGATGGTACAAGGAGGATTTATTCGGGTTGCGAACATTGGATGAAGCTGGAAAGGTTAAGTTCATCAAGGTGCCTGGAGTTCACCTAGTAATAACCATTCCTCAGTTGCAGCAGCTTGTTGTCCCATACTTGGTTGATTCTGCACCAGGATTTTTCCTCCCCTAGACTTTTGAGTGCACTGAAGACTAGGATAATTAATTTAACTTACCTGGTTTTAGACACTATATATGGTTTAGGTAGTTTATTGGTATTATTGAGTATGATCTATGATCAATAACATCATTGAAGAACATAATATTCCTTCTTGATGACGTAGTCCTTTCAAAACTTATATGTTTTTTAATCTAGAATTAATTTCGAATATGTTAGACAAAAGATTATATATTTACTTCTAAGGTACATACACACGATTTTCTCTCTCTATATATATAGGCTTGTTAGGTCCTAAAGGAATATATTCTTGTGACATGACTTAATTGGCAAAAAGAAGAGAAAAGGCAAGAGAAAAAATGGAGAAGTAGACTTCCTTATAAATAAATGATCAAAAGTAATGTACTGTTACATTACTCTGATCTACAAAAATTTATTCTAATTTTCACAACATAATGTGCCATTATTTTTTGCATTTGATTACTACATGAATTTTTGTTAACTTGTGATGAGATTAACAAATTTATAGTAACTAATAAAAATAAAGAATTTCATTGGTCACACTATATTAGGATGATCATTAATTCATTATATAGTAATTTTATGGTATATTTGATTTGCACATGAGAATCAGAATGAGAATGGAATCAAATATTTGGTAATAGTAATAATGAGTTTTACTGAAAGTATTTTGAATGTTTGGTAGTGGATAGAATTAGAATGATTACTAATATATATTGTCATATTGATGTTGGGTTATGTATGACCCTATAATGGAAATAAATGTTTTAAAAATATAAAACAAAAAAAAAAAATTAAGGCCATTGTTCATAATATAATAACATCCAAAACACTAATATGACTAACAAATCAAAACAAAAATCAGATTACTAATAACATGGAGTACGTGATAACGATTTTTAATTAACTAGGAAATAGGGTTTTTAATTGAAGGTCGACATAATCAAATCCGTACTGTTTTAAAAAGTTGTCAATCAACACTAATTATGGTTTTGATTCCCATTCCTAGTGTGTAACCCCTTGAACCAAACACACCCTTATTAGGACCAAAAATAGATTATATTTTTTTAATGAGCAATTAATACATTATACTCCGTAAAATAAAACGTAAAATGAAATGTGTGATATATCATTAATAACAAAATAAAAATGAATAGTAGTACTTCATTAGTAGGTTGAGAAAATAGTTATGAATAGATACTATACTAACAAAATTGGTAATACTAAAAAATTAATAGAAAGTAAAGCATAATTAATGAAATTTTAGCTGTCATAATCGTGTATATGCTATGATGATATTATATCATATATCTTCTCTTTTTTTTTTTTTTTTTTTTTTTTTTTTTTTTTTTTGTTACCAAGAACATAAAAGGAAGTTATGAATTTAGCCTTGTTATGTGTATTAGTATACAAGTATTTCAAGGGCATATCTTAAGGCATATTTCACGATATGCTACATTCTCCCCCAATCTTCAAGGCAAGAGTAGTAAGAGACTGTCCGCGTGGACAACTTAATTGATCACATGGGTGAAATTTGTCACAAGAGATACAAAGATTGAGTCTCATCAGTGACAATGTGAGAGTAACCTCTCAAAATGGAGGGAGGTAAGTGCACTCATGTAGGGCTGACTGTAGGGGTGCCTAGGGTTAGAGATTCCGCATTTTGTCACAAGAATAGTGATAGACCCTTAAATTAAGGGTTCAAACTTTCATATATCCTTTTTCTATAATGTATTAAAAAAAAAAAGAGAATGACATTTTTATAATAGAATATATCATAGCTATTTACAAAATTATCATAATTTTATTTTATTTTAATAATAGGGGCGACAACTCAATATTGTAGAAGTTTTCCAAATATAGATAAACATATAAAGTCCACGATATGCTTTGGTCCCAGACAAGTAAAAGTATAGAGAGAAGGAGGGGAGAATAGACTTTTACAATTTTTTTAACTTAAAATTACAAAAGTGTTTTGCAGCTTAATTTTGTACATTTAAGGAAATTTACATAGATGTGTGTATTGTTTTTGATGGATTGTTTAAAGAATAAATAAAGATCCGAGTAAGGGAGAGAGATTGAAAAATATATTTTTATAGTCGCTCATTGTACCTCCCCTAAGTGTCATAGAAGCTCTCAGATTCCATCTAGGTAAAAGAAGAGATATCATTCCATAATTTAGTAGTTTTTGATTGGTTGTTGGTCCTGGGAAAATTAAAGTTTAGAAGGGGTGGCGTGATGGTGGGAAGGGGAGAGGTTGAATAGATTTTAAAGATTTTAAGAACTAGAGTAAGAAAATAAAATTTCCTTGCAGCAGAAGTCTTGAATTGAACTTGTAAAGAAAAGGGTTTGTTGCTAAGTTTTTGTGAGTTAGCGTGTATGTGTTAAAACAAGTATAGGCCGGGTTAGTTTGCACAATAAATAATGAGAAATATATAATGCAAGACAGAGAGTTAGAGATATTTTTATAATGGTTCGGAAAGCTTTCCTACTCTAATATTCTCTTTAAACTCCAAGGATGATTTCACTAAGTATCTGTTATACACAATACAAAGTGAGCAAAGTTGTTCTCATTCACTACCATTGGCTTCATCCGGTGGCTATCATTGAGAAAGCTGGTTACGAGCTCTCACTAATTAACTTGTCATTCACTGCCTGATCAAACTCTAGCCAAGTGTTATCACCAAGTTGCCTTGCTAGATTGATTTGCAAACTTCCTTCAACGCATAAAGATGTTTGTTGTTGTTGAGTGTTGGACTTTTAAAAATCAGGACGATTCTTCTTTAGCTTAGATTACTTGATAAAGCACTTAGTGGTTTCTTTCTCTTGATCATTTTAGAAATACATTCGCAATTGTTTCGAACATTTTTCTTCTAAGCAAGGGGTCCTCCTTTTATAGATGAGGAGGGTTGAGCGCTAACATGAATTTTGAATTTGTCTATTATTACTTAGAAAGTGATAGTCATCCAAAAGCGGCCACAGTCTTTGAAAATCTGGTGCCAAATCCTTTACATGTGTGGCTCATGAGCCATGGGGTAAAGACTATTTCGCTACCAGTGTATAAACACACTTTGGTTCAAAAAGACTCTACTTATCACTAATTTGTTTTGAGTGTAGACTAATAGGTGTCAAATAAATTGCACTGTGTCCAATAGCTCTTTTAATTTTATCCTTCCTCGTATGAACTCCTTCTAAGGTTGATTCTTTATCCAAAGTCATTGACGACTTGTCTTGGAAGTGCCTTCTTCCGATAATCTCCTTTCGGATATGCTTTTATCGACTGCTACCATCCGAAATGTCTCTTTCTGATTCCATTTCCTTCCAGTGAGGCTTCTTCCGATTGAACATATTCTAGTATTGCTTCTGGTAGCAACAAGAACCCAAGTATAATTTAGGGGTCTACAAGGACTATACACTTTACTTAACATCGTCACAATCTATAAACAATTACTTCTAACAATGGTGGAAAGTACATGGACATGAAAACCCGAGTCAACTCCTCCCAAGTGGTAATGGTTTGGTTGGTAAACAGCAAATGCCAATTTTGGTCCCATAAGTATTAGCAAAATGACACTTTTAGTCCACATGTTTAATTTCTACCAATTTCCATCCAAAACTATTGTTTTAGTACCAATTTTCATCCACAACTATTATTTTAGTGCAAAAATTCATCACGCTGGTCACTCATTTGTTTAAGACATGCCTAAATCTAAAACTTTTAAGGGTATTTTTGTCCTTTTCAGCTTAAGATCCCAATTTGAGCATGAATAATGAAATTTAAACCCTAAGATCGATCCCATTTCACAGTTCTCTTCCTCATCCTACCTTAATTTGAGGAGAAGAATTGTAAATTGGGATCGATCTTAGAGCTTAAATCCTGTCCTTTGTTTATGCACAAATTGGAATATTAATTTGAAAGCACAAAATTCCCTTAATAATTTCATATTTTGGCATATATTAAATGAATGGGTGACCAATGTGATGAATTATATTTCTGCACTAAAACAATAGTCGTAGATGAAAATTGGTACTAAAATAACAGTCGATGATGAAAATTTGTATGAATTAAACATGTGGGTCAAAATTGTCATTTTACTAATACTCATGGAGCCAAAATTGGTATTTGCTCATTGGTAAATGATCTCAAAAACTACATACCTTTCCCCTCAGAGTAAAGGAAAACAATCGTAACCAGATAGCATCATTAGAGGCCCACTAGAGGCTCACTGATCTTGAAAGTATCACATATTAATTTCAAGAAAATTGGCCAAGTGAGAATTAGGATCCTCATCTTATAAACCATCAAATTCACTCTGTTGGTTTGAATGATGCTAGATGACAATTGTAGTATGCGTAGGATGGAAAGTAGGTGGGAGAAGATAACATCCCCGAGATGTCGTTCTCTAAGGATGACGAATGGGAATTGAACAATGCATGGCTAAGTATAAGCTCACAAGAGCCATAGGAAGTTAAGTCTCAAAGCTAACCAAGAACGCATTATCATAATAGCAAGTGAAAGCTAAACTGCGTCCTAGCTCGGGACCGGGTTCAAAGAGACGCCCGGGTACGCGGGAGGAGTCGCAACTGCCGCCGCACGACTCGGATAACGCGGGGACCCCGTCCCGACCGAGTCGACCCCAGTAGGCCGACCCCGGGGTGGTTCGTCACTCCGTGTGCGCAGTAACCGGGGACTCCGTGATAGTAACCGAGGACTCCGTGGTAGTAGTCAAGGATCCCAGGGAGGTAGACCCCTCCATTGTCTGTCCGGCTGCATGCATAGTCCACTCGGTGCCGAGTGTGATTCGCTCCATATTTCTTCGCTCCAGGTCCACTCCGTAATTATTCCATCACTTGCCTCCCTAACCACAATTTCTGGTGACATGCTTGGGATTAGTTCAGCTACTTGACTGGCCCTACAAACACCTGTATAAGAAAACTCATAGCTCGCCAGCCCCGCCTTTTTGCAGGGCAAGAATGACTAAACCTGTTTTGACCACTCTAGCTTAAAAAATTAACTACGATTAAATCCTAATAAAAATAGCATTTTTATTCAAAAATCCATCTGAAACCTTTGGTTGATATGCATAAACCATAATTCACAGTATGC